GAAATTTTTAATCCTCCCCTCTTGTTCCAGTTTGTCCAAATTTCCATAACCCTCTCCCCTCTTTGGGTGTCTAACAAAACTCTCTCCCCACTTAAAACCTTTATCATTTTATGAATAATAGATACCATAAGTAGAAATGAAAAACAAGAAATTTTGAAATAAATATAATAAAATACATAAACCATATAAATGGACAGCCAATGAAGCTCAACTTGTCCGAGTTATTGTAACCCCTCCTTCTCTTCCAGTGTGGATGTCGCTTATGGACAGCTCCTAAATGTTCATTATTATTATTTTCAAATTAGCAAATTCGAAGATACCATATCTAACTTTGATGAAATTTTTGGGACTGATGATGATTAATTTTTTATTGGTAAATGAGAGAAATAAAAGTTCAAATTATAAATATTATACAATACATCAGGTATATAAAAAACATTTATATTATCAAATTAAGAGTAAAAGGACATGTTTTTCTACAATAGTATGATAATGGTTGAAATTGTATCAGCCAAGTTGCTCAACTCCACTATGTTAGATGCCATCACAGTCTTTAGTAATAATCAAATGCTACAAATTGAGATGATGACATTGCACACTACATTGTGATTAGCATAACTACAGTAGTCAATATTTATTGCAAAAATTTGAACCTGTTTCTTTCAATTCAAAATAAGAAAATGAATTTATGTGAAAATTTTCTTATATAAATTATGTCATTTTTGAGACAGCATCAGCAAAGTCTCATAGAAGAGGCTTTGCTGATGCTCTGTCTCAAAATAGAATTGAGTTCATTCTCAAACTTTGATTGTTCAATTTTGATTAAACTTTGTCATTTCACATAATGAGATGAGGAAATTGAAAATGAAGAGAGCATTTATCTATTGTGACATTGTCACAATGCCATGCCAGGCTGCAATTTTTGATCATATTTTTAATTTATTTAATTTAAAATATATGCTCTCCATCTCAGATTAGTAATGGCTTGCCCCTATACAACATCAAACTTTTCCTTTAACAATAGAATCGTGCTGATCATCTATCTAACACCATTCTCAAGATTAAGGAAAGATGGACATATGGATGAGAGTGGAATTTATAGGTGTACAAATTTTTCAAATTGCAGTCCAATAAAAATTAGGGTCCATGATCTTATTTTCAAGATACAATGTGGTCAAAGTGACAATGTCCAAGATCACAACACAAGCACATGTAATTTTTATTCTTTTTCATTTTGTATTCAATCAATAATGTTGCGTTGGAGCTCCTCAAGACAATATTATTGACTTGTTAGTGCTTTGACTCAATTCTTAGTTTGTGTTTAGACAGAAAATGAACTATGCTTAGTATAATTCTAATTGAACATTATATATTAATGATAAAAACAAAATAGTCAATTTAGTTGATAGATATATACGATCTCTATTTTTATAAAATTAGCTTGGGAAGTGTCAGAAAAATGACTTGTTTTAAAAAATAGTAAAAATCATTTATTTTAATTGTTACATTAACATTTACAGTAACATTTTTTTTAAACATTCAATCCATTTTTTGCTTTCAATGCATGAAAAAACAGAGCTTCTCTTGATCCATTCTTGTATAGCAGCTTGAACTTCCAATTGACCAAATTTACCTGTCAATACCACTTTTAAAGTTGGGGGAAGCCAGAAGCTTAATGGTGCCAGATTTGGACTGTAAGAAGCTGCAGGATAATCTTTAACTAAAGGTTCTTAAGCATATTTGTTGTTTCCTGACTGCAATGTGGTCTTGTGTTATGATTCTTTTCAGTCTTTACTCTGCAAATGTCTTGGATACTTGTAAGGTTTCACAATACTTCACCAAATTGATTGTTTTTCCTTTTGCAGATATTTCATGTAAACAACTCTCTTCCATCCAAAAACCTTATTATAATGACTTTTTGAACACAGGGAATAGTTCTGAACCTTGTAAATGACAGAGCATGAAATTGATAATACTGTATCAAATGTTTCTTGTCTGTCATAGTAATGAGACTAGACACTTGTTGCTACTAAAGGGTGATAGTCATGGTAGATATGTTTGTGTCCCCACACTTTATAAAATGCAAAAACCTTATCAATCAATTCTCACATAACTTTAACATGTAATTAATCTGAATTTTAAATTATACACAAAACATTTAAGTATATATGATAAAAAAAAAAGAATAATAAAAATTTTTCAACCAAATATTATTGATCAACTATCAATATTATACTTTCAACAAGATGCCAGCGTAGTTAGTATATTTTTTAACCTTCCATTATCCTCATTCTGTTACTCATAATTTAAAATCATAGACTAAATTATACAAATGCAGATTTCTATTTAAATATCTTATTATAATGATATATCCTTCCAACCCTTTAGTTTATATCATTCTGGATCATCTTAAAATGCATAACAATTTATCTGGTGAGAGTCTGATACTATACTTATGTTACAATTTCTGTATTTAATCAGTGGAAAACTTCAGTTCAGGGAATCGAAAGAGACAGGTCATAAGAATTTCTTCTCTTGAAATTTCAATTTATCAACTCCGTCAAAAATTGTTCTAATTAAGAATGGATCACATCGTTGGATAGCCCTTCAAAAGCAGGTCAGATCGATATATTACTTACTCGGGTACGATAAAGAGGGAGGGTGTTAGGAAGGTTCGAATCCCGGACATTTTAGAATTTAATAGCGAGGGGCTAAATTAAGATAGGGGGATAAAAATTGGGTGGGACGTACAGGACGTTAGCCCAAGCACAGGGTGTAAATTTGATTAAGCTGGGGTAATTAGAATTTAAATAAGGGCTGTTTTAGAATTGCATACATTTTAATTACTATCTATAACGGTTTCCAACGGCCGTTAGTGTTAGTTGCCATAGTCAACGGTCATCCGTAACGACTTTTATACAAAAATAAGGTGGTTAACAATTTTACTGGTTATTAATAGGTTAGATAGACTGATTAGGCCCCAAAATACTACTTTTTAATCGGTAACGATAAATTTTTTTGATTGACAGTTTAATTCTATATATTAATTTTTAGTCGTGACAGATGGCCATATATAAGGTGGTTAACAATTTTGCTGGTTATTAATAGATTATATTGGCTGATTAGGCACAATATTATTACTTTTTAATCGGTGACGGTAATTCTGTTTGACTGACAGATTAAGTATTAAAATAATTATTAATTTAATTATTAGGTTTAAGTCCTATCTTTTCGTACTGTGCTATTGAGTATTCACTCGGTAACACAGTATCGCTTGGCACTGGGCCATCTTAAACACAATACACTTCTTCTAATTGGTTTATATTTGAGTTTTAAGATGGAAAACTTAGAAAATAACTTTGATCAAATATCGGAAGACCAGCAGGAATGCTCCAGTGAAAAAACGGTTAATTACTACAATGAAAATAACAGTGAAACAGCTGAATTTAAGCTTCTAAAAGAAGCGAAAACACAATTGAAGAGGATAATGGATCTTATTCCAGAATCCTATAAAATCCATATCAGGAGTGAAGAGAGGAAAGAGGTGAAAGATAGGGTTGTACAGATGTACGCAACGGTACAACAAATGTACGGGATTCTTAAAGAAGTAAGATCAGAAAGAGAAGAAAGAAACAGCATAACACCAAATTTACTGGAGTCTATCAAAGAAATCAAAACAAATATACAACATTCAAACAAGACTTCAAGTCAATTGAGTTACGCTGAAGTCACTAGATCCAACATAAGTACACAACAAATGGGAAGTCAAAATAATAGAGATATAATTAACAATAGTAACGAGGAATGCAACAGTGCGGTATTAATATACCCAAATAGTGAGCAAGAAACAAATATTAATATGGAAGGAATCGTTACGAAAATTAAGGAAAACATTCAACCAAAGCAAATTAAGATTAAGGTTAAGGGGATTAAGAAGATTAGAGGGAATGGAGTTTGCATAGTGGTTAATAATAACGAGGAAGGTGATAGACTCAAGAACGCGATAGAAAAAATAAAAGAAATAGACAATAAAATAAAGTGTAGAGTCGCAGGAAAGCGTCAACCAAAAATAATATTGCTAAACGTACCAAACAGTTTACCAGAAGAAGATATCATAGAGATAATGATAAGGCAAAATGATATTTGGAGAGGTTTAGATGAAGTCAATCTAATAAAAGACTGTCGTTTAACATCAATAATCAAAAGTAAAAGGTCAGAAGGGAAAAGCAGACATATTATCATTACAGTTACACCAACAATAAGAAATTTTTTAATGAAAAATAAAAATATAGCACTTCAATGGTACTCAATTCAAGTGGATGACTATATCCCTATACAGCGTTGTTTTCAATGCTGTGGGTTTGGACATTGGGCTAGAGATTGTAAGGAATCTCAAAAATGTAGCCATTGTTCCAAACAGCACAGATTCAGTGAGTGTAAACTTACGAATACTATACCGGCATGTACCAATTGTAAGAGAAACAATATTGGGCTTCCACCGGATAAAAAACTAGCAACNATTTAACTAAAATATATTTTAACTTTTGTAAATTCAAAAATACTTTTTAACTAATTAAAATATTATTAAAACAATACGTTTAATAATTGTAAAGCTTTTAAACAATTTTTAAGATAAATAATCTTGTTAGAAATTTACAAATTTCTTCTGATTTTTATTATAAGATTATCAAATAATATACTCATAATTAATTTGTAATCCTCATTTAATTAAATTAGCACTTTATATTAATTATTTATTAACATGGCCATATACACATATTTTTTTTATTGTTGAAATATACATATTTTTTTTATATTGTTGAAATATACATATATTTTTTCTATTGTTTATAAAGTATTTAAAATGGAAAATACTTTGTAAACAATATAAAAAATATATGTATATTTCAAGTACAGTACATACAATGCAAAATAATACATAACCAAGTATTGTATATTTATTATTCTTATTATTATTAGAATAATAAAAAGCAACTCACCCCATTTTTGGTTAAATATAGGAACCATGATATAACTTTATTATCCTATCTAATTCGTTCGTAAAATAAACATAAATATATACTTAAATAACTAAAAAAAGAAGAGAAAAAGCGCCCAAAGACACTTCCCTCAGCTGTTAAATCTCCACTAATGTGGACGAAGGGACCTGACAACAAGCTGAATTTGACGTAAACGATGTTTTAACCAATCAGCGCTCAGTATATGTGCCTATCGACAGAGCGCGTAAGTGTTGGGAATATTCCCTCTCCGTAGGGAAATTTTATTAAATCGTTTAAGGAAAAAAGGGAAAAAAATATGTGATTTCTCAATTAAAATTTATTATTCTTGCATTTCGTTTTATTTTCCATTGTTAAGCTTGCTCTTTCTTCTTGCTTTCCTAAACTCTTCTTTCCGACTTCTAATAGGGTAAAGTCTGTTGCTTATCACGGATAGCCCTCTATTCCTTTCTACTAAATGTATTTAATCAGTGATACAGACTGATTTTTACAATAAGAAAACTTTACATTATTTTAATTTGTTTTATTAACTGACTGTAATATTAGGAACAATTTGATATAAGCTAACAATAGCAGATTTTGAAGATTTTTAACAAAACTTTGAAAGTATTGTCTTATTTTAACAGCATATCTATTTTGAAAAACCAAATACAGTATAAAATTATCACAATACATATGCAAGTTATATATATATAAGTAAAAAGAATTTTTATTTTGTCATACAAATTATTTAAATCAATGATTCTGTAAATAAATACAAATTTTTGGCAATTTCATTCAATGTGTTTTACATTACTTTTGTTTTTATATACCATGTAAAATTCATTACATATAACATCATCGTCAATCTATCAGATACTTATGTAACAAAAGTTGACATAAGAAACAATATTAAAAACATTATAAATCTTCATTTAATAAAAAAATGTTTAAGACAAGGATTAAGTTCTTATTTGTAAATAATTATATTTAAATAATCCTTAAATAAATACATTTTTTAGATTAGGAAAAGTTCTGTTTAATATGAACGTTTCAAATTTAAAATGTTAATTTATTTTCTTGAAAATTTAATTATATAGTTAATCGAAATCAAATTTAACTGAATAGATAGAAGTAAAGTTGGTAAAGTATTGAAAAATTTGATTTTTATTAAAACGTATTTAAGTTCTGATTAGCAAGTAAATTACTATATATATTATAAATACAGAATATGAAAAAAAAAAATTAATTANCAGGAGTAATCTATAAATAGATAAATTTATCAAAAACTTCGTAGACTTGAAAAATATGAAGATATATTTAAATAACTTGGATTTAATTTTAAAAGTTGGATAAATTAAATAAATCTATACAAACTGTTGATAAAATATAAGCATAAATATAATTATATTATACATATTTACTTCATTTAGGAGAGGATAAAACAACAGGTAAATTTTTCATGTAGAAGGGTCTATGCACTAGAGTCATTGACTTCTGCATAATAGAAGTACTAATTAACTAAAGCTACTAATGAAACCTGGTGCTACAGCATATTTTTCTAATCAGTTCGTTGATCTAAATAAATTGATTTCCTGATCATAAACATTTTAAAAGAGACTAGTGAACGATATTAATATTTTTATAAATAATTTATATCCATTTTCCCCGTAGGGATTACTTACAGTTTATCTTGTTTTTCAAAGCAATAATAGCTGATAACTTTGTAAATGTTTGTAATAATAATAAATAATAATCTCATAATAATAGTTAACAACTCTGTAATGATTTTTTTTTAAATTTTAATAACTTGTCAACTAACTAAATACTAGTAAATATGTAAATTGATTTTTATGATTATTCATAACATACTGTAAACTATTGCTACTCTCTATTACTCTTTGAAAATTTTATAGAAATTTTATTTACTACTATGTAGTAATTATCTACTTTATATTCAGCTTATTTTTGTTATTTTAAGTCAACATCTTTTATCTACTTGTCATTTATTCATCATGTTTACTGTGTCATTGATTCTCAAACTGAATATTTTATCATTTAGATTTTTGTTTGCCATTGGACTCAAATAAGTAACTATTTATCCATCACATAAATGTTCTTGACACAAATTTCGAGCTGAACGTACTGACCTTGTTAAACTTATTGTAAAGCATTGACCATCAGTTTCATTCAGTTATAAATGTTAACAATGATGAAAATCTACCTTTTTCTGTTTTACATTTCATTTATATCCCATTATTAGGTAAATAAGTAGCATATAAAATTTGAATTAAAAAATAATTTTCTAAATACAGTTGACCCCCCTATAACACTNCAAAATTATATATATATATTTTTTTAACTAAAGCTTTATCTTCTTGATGAATATCTTCATTTAAACATATTTAATTAAAGATCACACACACACAAAAAAAATTCCAAAAAGTCTTTTTTTCTCTTTTATAGATTCAATATTTCTTACAGTTAATTAACAATCACTTATTAAAAATATAATTCATTTATAACATTTATAAACTTTAAGGATATATTAACCTTTAAATTTATAAAATTAAAAATAATAATAAGTAAAAAAAAAGGAAGGAAAACTAAGATTAGATTTTTCTCTTATATTTATTTTATAAACTTTGATCATTTTTAATTGAAGATTTAAGTATTCATCAAGAAAGTTAATTAGAACACTTTATCTATTCTCATAAAAGATTACTGCTTAATACTTTCTTAATAGGGTGGATGTTGTTCTTAATTTTTTATGTAATGAAACTTTCTACACATACCAAACACACACACTCACAACACACACACACACACAAATATATATATATATTTAATTATTGCATGTAAATGATAATGGTTTTATGTATTAGAATAGGTATAATGAAGATAGGCTTTTTAAGGCTTATGAGTCTTATGAAACCTTATTTATGTAGAACAGTTGAGAAAGTGAGAAATGCTTAACCTACATTTGCTTCATAAATAGATGTGCAATGACATTTTCATTTAAAAACGAAGGTTTAAGCCTACAGAATATATACAAAAAGACAATGGTTTAATTAAATTATCGAAAAAAATAAAATAAAATTAGATCTTTTTACAGATAAATCTGAAAAAGAGTTAAATGGATTTTCCGAAAATTGTTATTTCAATTTAATAATAGACAATATAATTTCAATTATCGTCATTATTTAATGTTTATTACAATCTATCCCATTCTGATAATTAATCACAGTTGTATTATAAAGTGAAATACTTCCAAATTTGTATGGAAATATAACTAATGAATTAAATTTACAAATGATTTTTAATAATAATTCTATCCATTTATTTAAATATTAAAATATTTGACTGACTTTATCAAACGAAAAAATGTTTTAATTCTTAATTTATCTAATCTTAAAATTAATATAAAGTTCAGAGAATTGACCCTTAAAGTGAGGATAGAATTGAATAATACCGAAGATTATAAATTTTTAATGTATTTAATAAAATAATTATTA